CCCGTGTCCCCTGCATCGGCAGGCGGACTCTCAACCACTGCGCCACCAGGGAAGCCCTAACTGAGTAGTTTTTAAAGCCAACCCTGTCTTTTTTTTTTTTTCCTTCATTCTCATTATGCTATATAGACATGCATCTTATTTTTGAGATGGATTTCCTTAAAAACAGCCATTTTAAAACCAGCACTGTCCATAAAGTTACTTTAGAATCCACAGTGAAGGGCAAAAGAAACTTGTCAAAAAGCACATGGTCCGTTGATTCAAGTGTGGTTTAAAGTATGACGATGTGTTCTATAATCATTTCAAGTAGCTTTGTAAAATGTTGAGTTAGTGCTATCACGAGATTTTCCATCAAGCCTGGGCCTTGGCAACCACAAGACATGAAGCAAAAATGCTTGAAGCTAAATAGGATGCTAGACTTTTCTAGTGTACAAACCTCTCTGGGGGGAAAATAATCCTACACTTTGGGAAACTGGATTAACCTTTATACCAATAGATGCCAGTGGAGTAAATGATAAATTGGCAGCATAAAGTAAGATAAAACTTTATACAAAGATGTCAATGTTCTAGATCTGCTCCAGCCACTAGTCACATGTGGTTACTGAGCACTTGAAATGTAGCTAAGACAACTGAGAACTAAGCTGTGTTTAATTTTCATTCATTTGAATTTAAGTAGCATGACTACTGGCTCCCATATTGGATGGTACAGCTTATAAGAACCAAAACATCTGCTTCTTATTTTTCTCCTGTGTCCTTTTTAAAACATTTATTTTTTAAATGGCAATCTCTAATTTTCTTTTTCTTAGTTTGGAAAACGATAATTTAATCATCATGGAAGCTGTCTGTACTATCAAAAATTTATGACTGGTCTCTCCTCTAACCAGGTCATTTTCCTAACCAATGTCCAGATTTTTCATATATCTATATATGAAGAATGCAAAATACATTTATGTCTTTTACCAGAAAAATATACATGTTTATAATAAGAAAAAGATGTGTTAAACATATTTGTTATGGACAACTTTTCCAAAGTTAATCGATGATTTAAACTTACCTATACTGGAATTCAGACTAGAGTGGCCTCGTAGAAGGTGGCCTTCTATTTCTTTTCTTTTCTTTTCTTTTCTTTTTCCATTTAGTGAGCTACTGCCTCAAGGGCTTTGTTTGAGTTTTCAGTGGGAAGGGAATCATGGATCTTTGAGAGGGGAAGTGTCCCTCAGATACACTCCCATTTTGCCCCCTTAATAAGAGCAATCCTGTGTATTCCAGGGTCCAGCAAGGAGATGCTAGGCTTTGATCACTCCTAGGGAAAAGAAATGAATTCTCTCATCTTTTTAGAAACCCTTTAGAGGGTTTGTCTGAGATGTGTCTTATACCTGCAGGTTAAGGAATGGGTTTGTACTTCCAAGTTTGCCAGAAGAACTAGAGAAGGAAAAACATCAGTATGAGGCTGCTTCCGTGGGAGTGTGCACCTACTGTAATTCCCCTTGTATTTGTCATCTTTCTTCTCTGCAGTCCTTCCATGGTTACTCTGTCATCTGAGAAGCTAGATACTTCTCAAGGTTGAAAGTAAGAAGTTCACTCTGTTCCAGGTGGAGCGAGAAGTTTATTTCCAGGCCACTGCTTTTAAGCCTTTAGGGCTTCTGCTGTTTTTGTTTCCTGACTTGTCTTGATGATAATATGAATTCCAGTTTCAATGAATTTAGACTCATTTTAAATCATTCTGCTCCCTCTACATTTGGTTTTCCCTCAAGTTTAGTTGAAATAAGTGCATGCTG